GAAATTCACCACTCGTGTTTTCTCACTCCCACTGATTTCACCATTCTCTAGGAATCTAGCATTACCAGTCTCCACTATCCCATCAAGGTTTCCTTCTTATCTTAGAAGAGTGATTATATTAAAATTCTATTTACTGAACTTGATCTCAAATATTGGCTTTATTTATTTGTGGAGTCCAAATAAATTAAAACATGTAGAAAATATGTAGGCTATTGGGCCACACTAGAAAATAAATCCAACATTCTCCCACTTGGCCCATTAAGCCGATTATGATGCAATTATGATTTTTTTCAAAAATATGCAACTTAAAAAATTTTGACTCATTGGATTCCACACTAAAAACTTTGACATGTGATCACGAATTTTAAAAAATAGCCAATAAGTTCAGATATATTAGAAACTATAATACTGTGATTACTTCAGATCACCAATGTGAGTCATAGCGGTTATATAACATTTATGTCATATTTCCTTCTATGCACCACACCATTGATAACCTTCACCAACCCAGTCCTTTATTGGGATATATAATTATTTGCCTGAAAGGCCCCTGTAATTTGTCTTGTTAAGACATTTCCTGTTTATCAATATTCAAAATAATGTGTACACACACTTTTAGAAACAGGAAAAACAGAAACAAAATTATTATTGCGCAAATAGTGTCAAATAAAAATAAGCACTCAAGATTAACCATACACATCATGGGTGGCTTAAATGTTCTTTATATGTCTTTGGTGGCAATCCCTTTATGAATGGATCAGCAATCATAAGAGAGGTGTTTAAGTTTTCAATTAACACTTGTTATTTCTAGACTCTTTCTCTAACAACTAAGAACTTTACTTCCATGTGTTTGGAACCACTGGAGTACTTTCTATTCTTAGAGAAGAAAACTGTTACGGTATTGTCACAATATATCTTCAGCGGCCTGGCAATTAAGTCAAAAACACCAAGTCCTGACATGAAATTTCGCAACCATAAAGCATGATTTGTAGCCTCAAAGTATGCCATAAACTCAGCCTCTATAGTAGATGAAGCAATAGTGGACTGCTTCACACACTTCTATGAAATTGCTCCACTAGCTAGTAGAAAAACAAAACTTGATGTAGATTTTCCACTATCAATGCAACTAGCAAAATCTGAGTTTGAGTATCCGGTCACTTCCAACTATTCTGATCTCCTATGGGTGAGCATATAGTTCTTTGTTCCTTGAAGATATCTCATAACTTTCTTTACTGCTTTCCAATGTTCCATTCCAAGATTACTTTGGAATCTTCCCAACATTCCAACAGCAAAACTAATATCTGGCCCCTGTAATTTGTCTTGTTAAGATATTTCCTATTTATCACTGATGCATATAGAATGTCCTTAATTTGTTTTCTTTCCAAGTCATTCCTTGGACACTATTTTTCGCTTAATT